AGGGAAGGTATTAAGCACCCCTACAGTACCCTCAATCGGTACCCTATGATGAAGTTAATGTGATAAAAATTAATAAATTAAATATTAGATACCCTTTATTAATATTTATTTACATGCTATAAATTTAAATTATACAATTAACCCTAAAATTTCTACATGATTGCTTTTATTATAACAATGTTTATAAAAGATAAGAAATAAAAGGGAGAGAAGAAGATTGACTGAAATACCTCTTGAACGAGCTTTCCGGCCGGCGACCCCCCCACCCAGCTCGCCTTCCTCCGGCGAACCCAACGCCACCGGTCGCGCGGCAAATGGAGGTTGCACGCGCCCCCAAGCGCCGATTCCGTGCTGGGCGCGATTTCTCTCTCATCTCCGTCGGCCGCCGTGCGTGGCGGCGCGTCTGGCAACTTTTCTGGCGGCGATCACCGGCGTAGGACTCGCCCCGACCTCCTCTATCCCGATCTACTATTTGTTTTGTGATCGAACCTCGTTTGTCACGAATCTCTTCCTTCTCGGGCCATTTTTCTCTCTCCTGTTCTAGCATCTATGGCTTCCTCTTCCGCTGTTCGGCCTGACTCCTGTATTTTTACTAATTATGTCAATGTCCCTCTTTCCATTGACAAGTTAGATGGAACCAATTATGATACTTGGGCTTCGGATATCAAGCTTTGACTTACGGGACAGGATTATGTTGCTCACCTTACCCAGACAGCTGCTTCCGTTGATGAGAAGGATCGTCCTCATTGGTCGAAAATTATGCCTCCTCCTGCCACTCCTGCCAAGGAACTAGAGCACCGCCAAACTTTCTTTATGTTGATGGCATTGTATGGGCTTCCTGATGAGTACTCTTCTATTCGTGATCAGATTTTGGGATCTCCGACCGTGCCTACCTTGAACTCGGCTTGGTCCACTCTGTTGCGTGTGCCTTGCAAGTTTTCCCCTGACATACCTTCTTCAGCTCCCACTGGCGACTTCTCTGCTTTGGTTTCTCAACGTGATGATCGTTAGCGTTCTCGCAAACTGGGCAAAGGTCGTCCCAAGTGTGATCACTATCACAAACTGGGCCACACAATTGACCGTTGCTACGTCTTACATGGTCGTCCCCCTCGCCCTTCTACTGCTGCTGCCCACACTACCTCTCCTGTCTCTACTGCATCTGGTGCTACCCCCTCTGATAGTTCTAGCTCTGGACCTCCAGCTCTCTTCAATGACTACCTTAAATGGTATGAGAAACGTCAAGCTTCCAATTCCACTGCTTCTGTTGCTCACACAGGCCCTTCGTTTGCTGGTCTCACTCACTCCACCTCTCTTGGCCCTTAGGTCCTAGATTCTGGTGCTACCGATCATATTTCTGGTAATCGGTCTCTTTTCTCCTCTCTTTCTACCTCTGCTTATTTACCCTCTATCACTATGGCTAATGGTTCTCGCGCCACATCTCATGGTGTTGGTACTGTCCATCTTTCTCCTTCTCTCTCCATTGACAATGTTCTTTAGGTCCCAGAGTCTCCCTTTAATTTATTATCCCTAAGTCGTCTTACTCGCTCTCTTGATTGTCTTATCTCTTTTACTAATGATTCTGTTTTCTTACAGGACCAGAGTTCGGGACGGATGATTGGCACCGGATGTGAGTCTCATGGCCTTTATCACCTACGCACCTCTGCTCCTGTTGGTTTGGTCGCAGATTCCCCTTCCCTCATCCATGCTCAATTAGGTCATCCTAGCCTTGCCAAGCTTCAACACCTTGTACCGCGTCTGTCTAAGTTGTCTCATTTGTCGTGTGAGTCGTGTCAGTTAGGCAAACATAGTCGTAGTTCCTTTTCTCTGAGTGTCCCCTACCGAGCGTTGTCTCCTTTTGCTTTAGTTCACTCTGATATTTGGGGGCCGAGTCGGGTCACGTCCACTTTAAGATTTCAGTATTTTGTAACTTTTATTGATGATTACTCTCGATGTACTTGGCTATTTTTAATGAAATCTCGTTTCGAATTATTTTCCATATTTCAATCTTTTTATAATAAAATTCAGACTCAATTTGGTGTTTCTATTCGTACTTTTCGTAGTGATAATGCTCGTGAATACCTCTCACTCCTTTGAAGCCTTCATGGCTTCCCATGGCATTCTTCATCAGACTTCTTGTACATATACCCCTCAACAAAATGGGGTGGTTGAGCGCAAAAATAGACACCTAATTGAGACCACTCGCACCCTCTTACTTCATGGTCACGTTCCTCAACCTTTTTGGGGTGATGTTGTTCTCACTGCATGCTATCTCATCAATCAAATGCCATCTTCTGTCCTCAACAATCAAATACCTCACTCTATTTTATTTCCCACCCAACCTCTCCACCCGTTACCTCCTCGCGTCTTTGGATTTACATGTTTTGTCCATAATCACAGCTGCTCTTGACAAACTCTCTGCTCGGTCTCACAAATGTGTCTTTTTTGGGTATCCTAGGTCTCAAAAGGGGTATAAATGTTTCTCACCCTCCCTTCGTCGCTACTTGATTTCAGCTGATGTCACCTTTCTTGAGTCTCCTCTCTACTTTTCATCTACTTCCTCTTCTCCTACACATGTCCTTGCCCCTTCACCCTTCCCTCTTGTCTTTGATACTCCTCCTGTGTCTGCTATGTCACCCGACCCACCACCTCCACCTCCACTTCAAGTTTATCATCGTCGGCAACGCTCCAGCCTTCCCATTAGACCCCCACCCGACTCTACTTCGGTGCCACCACCTTTGTCTCCTCGGCCCAACCACTTGAGTCTGACCTCCCTATTGCCCTCCGGAAAGGTAATCGTTCTACTCGTAATCCTTCCCCTCATTATATTATTCTGAGTTATCACCGGTTATCCCCCTTTATGAACAAAATAGGTACACTAAACAGAAAGTAGTTCTAGCCTATGGACCTAAACCCCTTTAGATAGATAGGGCCAAAAAACAACTTTTATAAAGCTGTACAACATATAATAAACAATTGTTTTAACACTCCCCTAAAGCTGGAGCATATAAATTATATGCACCAAGCTTGGAACATATATACTGAATCCTAGGTCCTCTTAAAGACTTAGTTAGAATGTCTGCAAGCTGGTCATTAGAGCTGATAAACTCGGTGATAAGTTCCTTGGACAACAGTTTCTCCTGAATGAAATGACAATCAATCTCTATGTGTTTGGTTCTATCTTGAAACACCGGATTGGAAGCAATATGAATGATTGCTTGATTATCACAAAATTTTAACTCTTGAAGGAGTAGTTTAATCCACACAAGTTCACAAGTAGCCAAAGCCATAGATCTATATTCAGTCTCCGCACTAGAAAAAAGTGTAATCTGCCTTCTTAGCCTTAGGGTTTTAGGTTTTATACTTCGTCGTCCATGGGCTTTATGGGCCCCGTGAACGTAGGGATTTCCTCAACCGTTCTTGCTACGATGCCGCGCAACGAGTGAGGATTAGTCAAGTCGGATTTTGACCGATTATGCATGTGCCAAGGGTCCAATCGGGTATGCGCCGAGAGGTCCCCTTATAGGCGAGTGGAGACGGCTCGCTTAGGGATGTCAACTCGGTTGTAGGCCGAGTTGCTTCCAATCAGACAGAGGATCAAGTCGGGTTTTTACCTAGAGGGTACACCAGTCGGATTTTTACCGAGAAGGTACACTAGCCTCCCAGCCCTGAGCCGATAAGGCGAGAGGGCTTGTGGCCTGGTAACATAGTCGGGTATCGACTGAGTAGAGATCAGTCGGATTTTTACCAAGACGGTACATTATTCATTTGAGACTTTTTACAACTTAAAAATAATTCATTGGTATTCAAAAATATAATGATTTTTAAGGATTGTTGTATTAGAGGAATTTTGAAAGCCTTTTTAGTAGTATCTATAAATGCTAAATTCATAAAACAAACTCATCCAAAATCATCAAATTTTGGAGGATTATTTGAAGTGACTTTTTCAAGTGAGTTTTTTATTTTTTTTTTCTATGCTCCTGTCTTTTCCATTTTTTTCTTTGTTAATAATATTACATTATTGCTCATATATAATATTGTACTTCTATTCTCATTTCATTCCCCTTGTTTGGTGAAACTCCGGTACATTAATGACAATGCCAATTAACTTGTTTGTTCTATTTTGCTCTATTTAGTTGAGTTTGTTTATCAGATATATAATACATAAAATGCTTGAAATTTCAATTTCTAAGTAGTTATTTTTTTATAACACACGTCAAAAAAAGGAAAGGTGAAAGCT